TCATCGAGTGCTAAGTTCCCCTAAGGGTTACCGATTCCCTGCCACTGCGTTGTGCCAGAGAGTTGAGGGCGGTGTTCCTTTATTTTTCTAACCGTTTATACGGCAGCCCACTTTGCTCCCACAACTCTGGGCGGCAGCTCGCAATACATTAACCCTGTACAATAACAGAATTGAATTATAGCAACAAGAACACTGTATAACTCCGGTGGATATAAATAACGTACGCCTCCCGTCTTTTGATCCTCCATCTGGGCTTACTAGCTCTTGGACAAGGGCCTGAGAAAAAGAGGCCAGTCTTTATGGCTCTCCAAAAGTCTAACCAGGACGGGATCAACGGACTTGGCCTACCTCTAAGGAGAGGTTTGGATAATCTCTGCAAAAGAGGGGACTGAATTCTGAACGTCCCCAGGGAGTTCCCAAAGGTTTTGTGGTTGATCCAACAGAACCAGGAAGGGTGCACTGTCGCCACCAAGCCCCACCGCAGACCATCCCACAAGAGAGACCAAGATGGTCTCCAGCCTCCGCTTGCGGGAAAAGATGGGGATAATCCAGAGACTTTTAGCATTCGGTGTCCCACTACCAATTATATACATCTTTCCATTAAAAGAAGAAAAACAAAAAGATATGGTCCTAACAATAGCAGAGAAAAAAATTCTGGAAACTAAGGATACAACAGAAAACAGAATAAAAGGGACCTTAGAGGTCATCAACCCTATACCATTGTGGACAAACGGCTGCCCAAATTCTTCTTAGAACAGGGGTCTCCAAACTTGGCAACTTGAAGATTTTGTGGGCTTCCACTCCCAGAATTCCTGAGCTAATGTGACTGGAGGGGGAATTCTGGGAGTTGGAAGTCCACAAGTCTTAAAGCTGTCAAGTTTGAAGACCCCTGGAATAGATAGATAAGGAGAGGTAGAATAGATAGGTAGAAAGAAAGAGAGAGAGAGAATAGATAGAATAGATAGAGGTAGGATAGAGAGAGATAAGATAGATAAAATAGATCAAGGGTCTCCAAACTTAGCAAGTTTAAGATTTGTGGGCTTCAACTCCCAGAATTCCTGAGCTAACATGACCGGAGGAGGAATTCTGGGAGTTGGAAGTCCACAAGTCTTAAAGCTGTCCAGTTTGAAGTCCCCTGTTTTAGAACTATTTAAAAAAACAAAAACAAAATAAAACCATGGTTCTTTCCATGTTTGTTATCCCTCTATTGACAATAAGGCATATTACTTGGGATTTCCCCCCACCTGTAAATTCAGCATAGTCTGTCTAAGGGGCTTAATCTGAGATTAATTAAAGAGTTAATCTGAGCTAAATCTTACACTGAAGAACAAGTAGTATCAATGCAAAGAAGCAAAACAGCATTCATCTTTTTGCAGAATATCTACAGCAGCTCTCCGGATTCCTTGGGCTGCAGCTTCAATTGTGCCATTGACTAGGCCTGAGCATATAAGTCCAAGATATCTGGGAAAACCCGAGTTTGAGGAAAGAGAACTTAAAGAAAAGCACATAGGCGAGGCACTTGAATTTAGCTCACCTTTGGATCTAGTTTTCTGAATATTCTTTATTTATTTTTATGTTAGCAACAGGAAAGAAGCAGAAACATACTTTTCACGCCTTTTCCTCCATATATAAACACATCACAGAGAGAGAGAGAGAGAGAGAGAGAGAGAGAGAGAGAGAGAGAATTAAATGCATCAAATGATGGATTGGAAGGCACCACTAAAATCGCCTCTTCAACCATCTCACAATGTGCAGGAAAACCAATTAAACCATCCTTGGCAGGTGGTTGTCCACAAATCATTTGCAGAATCATAACGGGGTTATTCTGTAATGCTACACCTTTTCATAAAAAAATGAAATGAAATGGTCCAAACAACAGCAGAGAAGAAATTCTGGAAACCTAAGCATATAACAGAATTACAGCAGAACAGAATTGGAAGGGACCTTGGAGGTCTTCTAGTCCAGCCCTCTGCTCAAGCAGGAGACCTTATACTATTTCAGACAAGTGGCTGTCCAGTCTCTTCTTAAAAACCTCCAGGGATGGAGCCCCCACAACTTCTGCAGGCAAGTTGCTTCTCTCCTTGATGAGTTTCCATCCGTTGTTTCTTGTCCTGCCTTCTGGTGCTTTGGAGAATAGCTTGACTCCCTCTTCTTTGGGGCAGGCCCTTAAATTATTGGAACATTGCTATCATGTCACCCCTAGTTCTTCTTTTCACTAGACTAGACTGCCAAGATCATGTCTCCAACCAACTACAACGTGCAGGGAAAGCAATGAAACCATTCTTGGCATGTAGTTCTCCACATATGCATTTGCAGAAGTCCAGAGTTCCTTTCTGTACTGGTCTGTGTATCTGAATTCTGTCCTGAATCTCCTTTCTTTAGTAAGTCCCCTAACTCTGATCAACAGCCACCTATCACAGGAACTGCCAACTATTTGGTGGAATTCTGAAAAAATTCCGGAAAAGCAAAGAAGGATTCCAGATTCGCCCTGGTTTGGGGTGGTCAGGAAGATATATATTTTGAATGTATTCCTCTTTATTTTTTGCATGAGCAGAGATGCTACTTATTTTCCTGCGTTC